CTTACTCCTTGGAAGGAAAGTTATGACCAACCTAGACAGCATATTAAAAAGCAGAGACATTACTTTGTCAACAAAGGTCCATCTAGTCAAGGCTATGGTTTTTCCAGTAGTCATGTATGGATGTGAGAGTTGGACTATAAAGAAAGCTGAGCACTGAAGAATTGATGCTTCTGAACTGTGGTGTTGGAGAAGACTCTTGAGAGTCCCTTGGACTGCAAGGAGATCCAACCAGTCCATCCTAAAGGAGATCAGTCCTGGGTGTTCATTGGAAGGACTGATGTTGAATCTGAAACTCCAATCCTTTGGCCACCTGATGCGAAGAGCTGACTCACTGGAAAAGACCCTGATGCTGGGAAAGATTGAGGGCAGGAGGAGAATGGGATGACAGAGGACGAGAATGCTGGATGGTATCATCGACTCAATGGACATGGGTTTGGGTGGACTCCAGGAGTTGGTGATGGACGGGGAGGCCTGGCATGCTGCGGTTCATGGGGTCGCAAAGAGTGGACACAACTGAGCGACTGAACTGACTGACTGACTTGGATTGGTAGCCAGCTGGTCTGAAGGGAGGACAGTCTTGTTGTGGACCATGCCCTTTAACCTGTTGGGGTCATGAGTGCCAGAAGTGAATTTCAAGACCGCAACTGAGTTTGGTATCAGAAGATAAGCAGAGCAATATTTTAGTTTTTTCCTGAAATTAAATGATCTCCCTATTTGGGATAAAGTATGTTGGTACCACATGGCAATATTTAAGCTCCTGTTTCTCAGCTACAGCCCAGCCTATACAGTCAGCTCCAGGATGGGCTAGGACTCTGCAAACCACATTTCTCCTCTGCCAGCTGGCTAGTTTCTGCCACAGGGAAACATCAGAGGGAGGCTGGGAGGCAGGAGGACCTGCCAAAATCAGACCATTTGTTCCTGTGTGACTGCTCTCCAGTCAGCAAGTCCTCCGCAACTCCACTTCATCCTTGCAGTGGCAACTGGTTTGAGTTTCCAGCCTTTTTTTCTTTTTCTTTTCTAGCTGTTTTCTAGACTCCCAGAACCAGCCTCATCAAAGGAACCAGGATAAGCTAGGCAGATAGCCCACTCTCAGAGGATGGGTGAACCTCTGGGTTGAGGTCCCTTGTCTGAGATCCCAGGTTCTCAAAACCTCCAGCCCTTTTCTCTGCTCCCTCAGCCCCAGGGCTGGAAGCTGCTTCCCACAGTGACTTTCTCTGAGCTCCCTTTTTGCTTCTGTAGTCCCCCAACACCTTCTCAGACAGCTCTCTGGGCTGGTCATCTGGGCTGGTTTTCAAAAAGCTTAAAAAATTGGTTTCTGGCTTTCCTATTGAATCTTTGGGTAGAGACTAACTGTATTAATTAATACATTTGGGTAGAGACTAAATGTATTAATCCTCAACTACCAGTACAATGTGTTTGTAGAAACCACATCTTATTAGCAGTTGTCATCTTGACATCTGGAAAATGATATTCAATAGGACCTATTTTTCATGCATTGTACAATTTTATTGGGAAACTATTTTAATTGTAGAATTCTAATTTTCAGTACCCTGGGTGCACAGAATGAATGATATTTCTCTTCATTTACAGAATACTCCATTGAATGGATATACCACCTGTTTTTAATCCATTCACAGGTTGACAGACAGTTGGGCTGTTTCTACTTTTTGGCTACTATGAATAACGCTGCCATAAACATCTGTGTGCAAGTTTTTGTATGAACATGTTTTCAGTTCTCTTGGAGTAGGACTGCCATGTCATATGATAACTCTTATGTTTAACTTTGTGAGGAACTATCAAATTATT